TCTGCCTGTAGTGTGGAGACCTGGGTATGATCCCTGGGTTGGGAAGATCCCCTGGAGAAGGGAAAGGCTACCCACTCCAGTATTCTGGCCTGGAGAATTCCATGGACTGTATATACTCCATGGGGTCACAAAGAGTTGCACACAACTGAGCGACTTTTACTTTCATGCCGTGATTTAACTTATCACCATGATTTGGCCATAATGTTGCCTTTAAACATTTCTCGTGTTTAGAACAGTGTAAGGCTATCCCATCAGCTTATAAGTTGGGGTGAAAATAAGCATGATGCACGGCTGCAGAGAATGCAGTATGAAGTCTTGGAGACCTCAGTGCCTTCAAGGGTAGCTTGCTGACAGCCTTCTGAGACTAGGGGTGTTGAAGAAATTTTGTGTTCCAGGGCAAAAGTTGGGTTTTATTATGGGTCATACATTCATTTACTCCTCAGCTTCTACCGGGAGTCTCAGTTTTCCTATATACTGAAGTTTAGTGATGACCCTAGGCCATACCAGATAACACTGGAACTAAGATGACAAGGGGAGTCAGCCAACCAATTCTCTGTTATTCCACTTTGATGAGACTCCAAGTCAATGCCCGCAGAGTGACATTCTAGGGTTTCTTTGAGATAAGGTGTATTTCCGGCACCATGTGATGTAAACAACCAAACAAGAGATACATCCTCTCCTAAAGGAAAATTGTGTTTATCACAGGCTTCAAAACTCCTGTTCTGCTTAAGCCAAGGTATTTATGATGGTGAGACTTAAGGCACCAACGCATGGTATTTCTATTTATAAAGGGATCTTTCAGTTAAACTCTAAGATCAGTTCAGGAAAACACTACCAACATGGTTTTAACAGATCCCTTTTTGTTTAAATATGAAAGAGTGAAAATCTCCATCCACATATGTTTCCTGCAGGTTTATAAATTGTACACATATAAACACAGAAAGGGAATATATGCTCATTAAAGAGCATTTTTAAAACAGAAAATGTGTTCATATACTTGAGTTCAAAGATGTTTGTTAAAGCTCCAGTATATAGCTATTTGATCTATAATTTCTCGTCATACTTTAAAATGTGTTCCCGTGTTTGCAATATATAGAAGTAGAAGAAGTGAAAGTCGCTCACTCATGTCTGACACTTTGCGACCCCATGGACTATACAGTCCATGGAATTCTCCAGGCCAGAATACCGGAGTGGGTAGCCTTTCCTTTCTCCAGGGGATCTTCCAAACCCAGGGATCAAACCCAGGTCTCAAGCATTGCAGGTGGATTCTTTACCAGTTGAGCCACAAGGAAACTTAGTTCCGAAACCAGGGATTAAACTCGGGCAGTGAAAGCACTAAGTCCTAACCACTGGACTGCTAGAGAATTCCATTTGTTTTTGAAGTGTAATTGACCCACAACACTATGTTACTTCCTGTTACACAACATAGTGGTTTGATATTTCTATACATTTCAAAATGATTACCAGATATGTCTAGCTACCATCTGTCACCATATAGAGATATTACACAGTTATTGCCTATATTCCCCACACTGTACATTTCAAACCCCTGACTCATTTATTTTGCAACTGGAAGTTTATACCTCTCAACCTCCCTTACCTATTCTTCTCGCTCTCCCACATCCTTCCCTCTGGCAACCATCTGTTTGTTCTCTGTATCTGTTTCACAGTTCCACTTTAAGAACAGTTTGTTTCTGACACACAGCAGACACTCCACAGATGTTTTTTGAGTGCGTCCATGGCAGAGTCCAAGTGTCAGCCAGGACCTGTGTCCTGTCTCAGGATTCTTTATGCTGTCTCTTGCCCCCAGGAGGTAGTTTCCTGTGAACCAGGGGTTCTCCCCACCCCAGCCATGGTCACTGGGTATCCAAAGTCCCAAAACCAAGTCTCATTAGCCAGCTTGGGTCCCACGCCCATGCCTGAACCAATGGCTGCAGTCAGACCAATGGAAGGTGCTGATTGGCCCCTGGGATCATGTGGCGCCTCTGGTTTACAGACAGAAATCCGAGAAGTGGGTAGGTTGGGGTTGGGAGTAGGGGTGGGGGTGGGGGGCAACTAGGAACAGTCCTGTTCAGATGTGGGAGATGATCGCCACATAGCAATTTTGACAAGTGCTCACTTTACCCTCCTTAAGATCCCTCCAAAAGAAAGATGGAAGAATTGGATAAACCATTTTGCAATCCTTAGTGAAAGAATTGACTCAGGTCACTATGACCTTTGGATGAAACTCTTGGTTTATTCTCAGCTGTGATCATGACCACCCCTTGCAGTCAGCTGGGTAAATGAAACAGTGTCCATGCCCAGGCCACAACCCAGACAGATTAAATTAGGAGATAGTGAGATGTGGTGCAGGCTTTGATATTTCATTAAAGCTCCCTGGCAGTTCTTTTTTTTTTCCTTCTCCTTCTTTCCTTACTTTTTTGGCGACACCAGGAAGCATACAGNCAGGCCACAACCCAGACAGATTAAATTAGGAGATAGTGAGATGTGGTGCAGGCTTTGATATTTCATTAAAGCTCCCTGGCAGTTCTTTTTTTTTTCCTTCTCCTTCTTTCCTTACTTTTTTGGCGACACCAGGAAGCATACAGGATCTTAGTTCCCCGACCAGGGATTGAACCTACGCCGCCTGCGGTGGAAGCATGGATTCTTAACCACTGGCCAGCCAGGGAAGTCCCCTCCCTGGGGGTTCTAAAGTAAAGCATGTGATGAACAGGAAATATGGGGCAAGAGGAACAAGATAAGGGGACCACAGAAAAGCAAGCCCCAAATCCAGAAAGTGTGGCATTCCCCAACATTCTACACTTTTCCTGCCTCAAGGGGGTGGAGAGAGGAGGGAGAACCCAGAGCAGCGGTCCTCAAAGTACATCGCCCGTACCAGCAGCGTGGCCTGGGAACTTGTTAGAAAAGCAGATTCCTGGGGCTCCTGCCAGATCTCCTGAGTCAGAAGCTCTAAGGTGGGGTTCAGACACTTGAGCTTTAACAGAATATCTAGGATTTCCCTGGTGGCTCACTGGATAAGAAGTCGCCTGCCACTGCAGGGGACATGGGTTCAATTTCTGGTCCAGGAAGATCCCATATGCCTCGGAGCAACTAAGCTTGTGCACCACAACTACTGAAACCCACTTGCCTAGAGCCTGTGCTCCATAACGAGATAAGCCATCACAATGAGAAGCCCACACACCCCTGCTCGCTGCAACTAGAGAAAGCCCTCGCAAAGCAATGAAGACCCAGCTCAGCCAAAATACATGGGCGTGCACACACACAAGATCCAGAGCATTCTAATGCATTTTCTAATTCTATAACTACTGGATTAGGATAAAAGGAATTTAGGATACATGAAAAACGTGTTGTGTGGACCTGGGTTGGACCTAATTCAAAGAAACCGAGTGTAAAAAGACATTTCTGAGCCAATCAAAAAATTGAGTGATGACCTGGGTTTTGAGTGATATCAAGGAATGACTGTTAGTTGTCTCGAGTGTTGTCTTAGTCTGTTTGGGTTCTGTCAAAAAATAGCCTGAGTGGTTTATAAGCAACAGGCATTTCTTACTCACAGTTCTGAAGGCTGGGAAGTTCACGATCAGGACATCAGCAGACTGAGGGTCTGGTGCGGGCCAGTTTCTTGATTCATAGGTGGCTGTTTTTTCTCTGGAGCTCTCTAAAGTCTCTTTTACAAGGGCACTAATCCTATTCCCTGGTGGCTCAGTGGTAAAGAACCCACCTGCCAAAGCAGGATATGCAGGTTCCATCCTTCGGTCAGGAATATCCCCTGGAGAAGGTAATGGCAACCCACTCCAGTATTCTTGCCTGGGAAACCCCAAGGACAAAGGAGGCTGGTGGGCTACAATCCATAGGGTCATAAAAGATTTGGACACGACTTAGCAAGTAAACAATAATAATCCCATTCCTGAGGTCGCCATCCTCATGACCTAACGACCTTCCAAAGACCACATCTTCTAATACCATCACGTTGGGTATTAGGTTTCTTCCTATGAATTTTGAGGGTATACTGGAATCAGAGATGTGTCCTGGAATACGAAAAGGGGAAATGACATTGGGATTTGTTTTAAAATAGTTTATCAGGGACTTCCCTGGTGGGCCAGTGGTTAAGAATTCACCTGCTAATGAAGGGGACACGGGTTCAATCCCTGATCCGGGAAGATTCCACATGCTGAGGGGCAACTAAGCCTGTGGGCCACAAGTACTGAGCCCACACATTGCCATGATAAAAGCCCATGTACTCTAGATCCCACGCTCCGCAACAGGGCAGCCACCCCAATGAGAAGCCCACGGACCACAACCAGCAAGCAGCCTCTACTCACCTCAACTAGAGAAAGCCCACTTGCTGCAACAAAGAGCCAGAATGGCCATAAATAAATTAATTAAAAAATATAAATACACGTAAAAATAAATAAGCTACAAATTTAAAAAGTAGAATAGAATACTCTGTCAGGGACTTCCCTGGTGGTCCAGTGGCTAAGACACTGTGCTCTCAATGCAGGAGGGCTTGGGTTTGATTCCTGGTCAGGGAACTAGATCTCACATGCCTCAACTAAAGATCCTGAATGCTACAACAAAGATTGGAGATCACATGTGCCACAACCAAGATCCCGCACAGCCAAATAAACAAATAAATATTTTAAAAAAAAATACTTCATCAAGGGGAAAAAAAGGTTAACGAAACAAACACTATTGCACTCTTGGTGATGGTTGAAACTGGATGAGGGTCTAGAGGATTCTTTTTCATGAGAATTTTAGATTTTTCTCACAAAGCAGTTTTTTTTTACCTTCTTTTTTGGCCACATCATGTGGTTTGCATGACCTTAGTTCCCTGAACCCATGCCCCCTAAAGTCCTAACCACTTGACCGCCAGGGAGGCTCCTCACAAGGTAATTCACAAAACAGGACAGTTTCAATGGCAGGAAGGCATGTCATCCCATCCAGGTACTTAGAATTACAACCGCTGTCAGCTGGGATGAAACAAAAAATGAAGGAGAAAGGAGTCAAGATGACGAGGATTTCCGGAATCTTTTATTATCAATCTCCTTTCCAGACGCAGGGGGTGCCACAGAGAGACAGATTGAGACCACATCTCCTTCCAGCAGCCAGTGGGGCTCAGCAGTCCTGTTCTCCGCATGTCTGTCAGCCCAGCTTGATGAACAACAGCAAGGTGGCAAGAGTTCCTGGCAGCTGAAATGGGGGAAGAAAGAAACACTGAACCGACATGAGGCGTCTCTGGAACCCACGTCAAATTTAATACACGGAGATACATCGTGATTTAGAAAGGTCAGGGCAGGGTGTGACAGACAGCAGAGGGACTCTCAGGGCCAAGGTGGAGGTAATTGGGACTGTTAACACAGTAAATCTCATCAGAAGGTAGAAGGAGAAGGCATTTTGGGATGCACGTCAGTCACTCTCCATTTGTTTCCCCCAGATCTCATCTCCACCCTCTTTTGTTTGCCCTCTGGGTCCTGAAAATGACATTTCCCAGAATCCCTGGCTCCCGAGGGTTGCAGAGAGTCGGGCACAACTGAGCGACTCACACGTGAGCACACACACACACACACCTGCTCCCTAAATTCCTGTTAAGTTTGGCCAGTAGAAGTACCAATAGGAGATGGGTGGACAGAAAGAAAGGTTGGAGTATTCTTTCCCCCACCCCCGCCCTCTTCTGCCCACCCTGAGCTCTGCAAATCACAGTTGTGGGCAGATGGCTCCTTCTTTCTCCTTTTCCTCGACTCTTGCTCTCCTTACCCCTTCAGGCATAGGAGCGTAAAATCTTCCTATGTGGCTAGCCCCCATTCTCCTCAACCCTGCTGATACTTCCACAAGAGGCCCCTGAAAACTTTTTTTTAAGTTTTTTTTTTTAATGTGGACCACTTTTTTTAAAGTCTTTGCTGAATTTGTCACAATATTGCTTCTGTTTTATGTTTTGGTTTTTTGGCCACAAGGCATGTGGGAGCTTAGCTCCCTGACCCTAAAAATGTCCTCAAAGGACTCTCTAGGACTTCCCTGGTGGTCCAGTGGCTAAGAATACATCCGCCAATGCAGGGGACACGGGTTCGTTCCCTGGTCTGGGAAGATCCCACATGTCGTAGAGCAACTAAGCCTATGCACCAAAACTACTGAATCCTTGCTCTGGAGCCTGAGAGCTGCAACTACTGAAGCCTGTGTGCCTAGAGCTACCATGCTCGGCAACAAGAGAAGCCCCTGGATCTAGAAGCCCGTGCACTGCAAGGAAGAGTACCCCTGCTCACTGTAACTAGAGAAGGTGTATGCACAGCAACAAAGACCCGGCACAACCAAAACCAAACCAACAAACAAATAAAATTAAGGGAAAAGTCATATATATATATATTTTTTAAATGACTGTGAGGGCTGAATTCTGTTTCCTGCTAGGATCTTGACTGCTTTGACTTCCCTGGGGAGGATGGTGTGATGTAGTTTGCAAACAAATATTCAATATAAATGTGTACAATGAAAAAAAAATCCATTTTAAAATACGAATCAGACAGATGAGACTCATCCGTATCTTGGCTGGTGGTAATCTGCAGAAAAACAGTTTCATGTGAAGCTTCCCAGGTGGCTCAGTGGGTAAAGAATCTGCCTGCCAATCCAGGAGACACAAGAGATACAGGTTCGATCCCTGGGTCAGGAAGATCTCCTGGAGAAGGAAATGGCAACCCACTTCAGTATTCTTGTCGGGAGAATCCCATGGGCAGAGGAGCCTGGTAGGCTGCAGTCCATGGGGTCGCAAAGAGTCAGACGTGACTGAAGGGATCGAGCAGAGGCATGAAAAATCAATATGGGGAAAATGCGAGAAAAACTTCCAGGGCTCAAGGGGATGGACATTTTTTCTAATTAACAGCTTTACTGAGATGTAATTCATTTATCATACAATTCACCTTTCTAAAGTGTATACTTAAGTGGTTTGATTCCTTTACATTTAACATAATTGCCAAGAAAGTAGGATTTATATCAGCCACTTTGCTGTGTTTTCCATTTGCCTTTTTTGTTGCTCTTCTTTTATTCATTCATCACCACCTTCTGTTCTGTCGGATGTTTTCTTTTTAATATTTATTTGTTGAGCTGTGTCGGGTCTTAGTTGCAGAATGCAGGCTCTTCACCGCAGCATTCAAACTTCTCTAATTGTGGTGACTGGGCTTCGTTGCCCCAAGGCATGTGAGATCCTAGTTCCCCAACCAGGAATCAAACTCACCTCCCCTGCAATGGAAGGCAGATTCTTAACCACTGGACCACCAGAGAAGTCCTCATCTGCTGGTTATTTTCTAGTGCACCATTTTAATTCCCTTCTTGTTTTTATTATATTTTAAAATTATTTTCTCAGTTGCTGCCCTGGGAGTACGATGGACATCTTAACTATTCATAATCTAGTTTGGATTAATACTCAATCAGTACCATACGAAAACTTAACTCCTATATAGTTGTATTCTCTCCAACATTCTTTGTGTTATTCTTGTCATGTAAATTACATCTTCATATAAGCACAGTTTTATGACTATTGCTTTACGCAGTTGTCTTATAAATGAGGTAGGAGAATAGCTTTAACCATTTTTGTCTTTTGTCACTGCTGTGTCTCAGTGTCCCAAACAGTGCTTGGCACACAGTAGGTGCTCATTAAAAGACCTTGGTGTGTCCCAGAGGAGCTGGAACTTACCTGCATCACTGCTGCCCCCAGACAGCCCCCACTCAGATTGGTGCTCTGAGTCTTGGTTATTTTCAGGAGCTTAGGGAAACAACCCTGGGGAAACAAACATCAAAGTAGGAGGGATCTGGTTAGGGACTAGTGGATTTCAAAGTGAAGTGAAAGTCACTCAGTGGTGTCTGACTCTTTGCAACCTCATGGACTATACAGTCCATGGAATTCTCCAGGCCAGAATACTGGAGTGGGTAGCATTTCCCTTCTCCAGGGGATCTTTCCAACCCAGGGATAGAACCCAGGTCTCCCGCATTGCAGGCGGATTCTTTACCAGCTGAGCTACCAGAGAAGCCCTGGTGGATTCCAAGGCCCCATCAATCCCTACAGTTCAGATTTTTTCACAAAGTAATTTATTTACTTTTTTACTTTTTTTTTTTGCCTCACCCACTGCATGTGGGATCTTAGTCCCCTGACCAAGGAGGGAACCCGTGCCCCCTGCAGTGGAAGTGCAGAGTCTTAACCACTATACTGCCAGGAAAGTTCACCCACCACAATTTTTATAGAAGTCAGTGGGAGGAATTTCCTGGTGGTCAGTTCGGATAGTTAGGACTCTGCTTTCACTGCTGAGGGTTCAATCCCTGGTCAGGGAAGTAAGATCCAGATAGCCCCTCGGTGTAGCCAAAAAAAAAAAGTCTCTGGCCCTCAGGGTCTACCTAGGTGATGCCTGTGTCGCTTGGGTGCTCAGTCGATCAGTCGTGTCCGACTTTCAATCCCATGGACTGTAGCCCGTCAGGCTCCTCTATCCGTGGGATTTTCCAGGCAAGAATACTGGAGTGGGCTGCAATTTCCTCCTCCAGGGGATCTTCCTGAACTCAGGGATTGAATCTGGGTCTCCTGCATTGCAGGCGGATTCTTCAAAATCTCGAGTTACCTCCTGGTGGATGACGTCTGCAGATACATTGCGTCCATTGCAATCCACGGTCCCCAGGGATTTACAGCAGCTCCGGGGGTAGGTGTGACCTGTCGCCCTTTCAAAGGAGGAGCCAGAAAAATCTGTGTAGTTCTTCACTCCACAGCACTTGAGCTGCAGAGAGGAGAATAAACACTTGAAGACTCCCTTTCAAATATTGAAATAATCTGAACAATAGAAATCACCGTCACCATGGCTACTGTTTAGAGCAGACAGTCGCATTATTCCAGGGCCTTTGCAAACACCGCCCTTTCTCACCCATCATGGCTCAGGACCCTCGACAACTGTCACCTTACTTGAGGTAGAAGCTGAACTCTTCACCATGGCCCACGGGGCCCTGCATGATCCTCCCCATCACCTTCTCATCTCCCTGCTGGGTCCCTTGAACTCACCCAGCTGCATATCGGTCTTCTGTTTCTTTTTTTTTAATTGTTTATTTATTTATGGCTGTTTTGGGTCTTCGTTGCTGCACACGGGCTTTTCTCTAGTTGCGACGAGTGGGGGTTACTCTTCGTCGCGGTGCACGGGCTTCTCATCGCAGTGGTTTCTTCTGTTGCAGAGCAAAGGCTCTCGGCTCTCGGGCTTCAGTAGTTGCAGCTCACAGGCTCTAGAGCGAGGTCTCAGTAGCTGTGCACGGGCTTAGTTGCCCCTTGGCACGTGGAATCTTCCCAAATCAGGGATCGTACCCATGTCCCCTGCATTGGCAGGCAAATTCCTATCCACTGTGCCACCAGGGAAGTCCCTCCTTTCTGTCTTTTTCTTTTTTTTTAATATTGAATGTTTCTTTTTATTGTTTGGCTTTTGCTAAGCAAAGGGGATTAGACAAGATGGTGGTGGTAGTGGTTTATATGCTTCAGTCGTGTCTGACTTTGTGGCCCCATAAACTGCCACCCACCAGCCTCCTCTGTCCATGGGGTTTCCCAGGCAAGAATACTGGAGGGGGTTCCTATTTCCTTTTCCATTTCTGTTTCTTAAGCACACTTAGTAAGCGTCAGCCTCAGAGTCTTTAGATGGTTATTTTTGGAATGCTGTTCCCTCAACTACCTACATGACTTACGCCCTCACTTCATTCAGGTCTCCAGCCCTGTATCAGTCAGGCCAGGCTACGTGATGCTGCATAACAAACAGGTCTTCAATCTTAGCAGTTCATCTGTCACTCACATGACATGCTCTTCCTAACCTGGCAGGAGAACTCCACTTATCCAGGTCTCTCAGGGACTCAGGCTGGTGAAGCAGTCACTATCCAGGTGGTTCCACTATTGGGACAGAAGGAAAAGAAAAGTCTCGAGAGCCCTGCACTGACAATTAGATAATTTGGCCAGGAAGTGACTCATACTACTTTTCATTGGCCAGAACTCATCAACGATCCCCGACTAACTACAAAGTACCTGGACAGGCCATCTACTGTGTGCTAAAAATAGATGACAACTAGTATCTGAGAGTAAACAAAATCCTCTCTCTTTACCTGCCTGTTTTCTTCATAACGCTTAGCACTCCTGACATGTTCACTTAGCGGTTTCTTGCCCGTCTCCCTTCCCAGTGTCAGCAACACAGAGCAAAGGATTTTTGTTTTGCACCCTGCTTTGTCCCTAGACCCCTGAACAGTGCCCAGCACACAGTAGGTGTCCAACAAAGATTCATGGAAGGACATCCACCTAAATGTCCATAGGCAGAGGAATGGATAAAGAAGATGTGCTACATATATACAATGGAACACTACTTAGCCATAAAAAGAATGAAATAATGCCGTTTGCAGAAATATGGATGGACCTAGAGATTATCATACTAAGCAAAGCAAGTCAGAGAAAGGCAAGTATCATATGACATTGCTTATATGTGGAATCTAAAGAAAAAATAATACAAATGAACTTACAAAACAGATAAATATAGAAAACAAACTTATGGTTATCAAAGGAGGGATAAATTAGGAGTTTTGGGATTAGCAGATACACACTACTATATATAAAATAGATAAACACAAGGACCTACTGGCTCTGTGCTCAATGCTTTGTAATAAACTATAATGGAAAAGAATATGAAAAAACTATGTCTGTATAACTGAGTCACTTTGCTATATACCAGAAACAAATGCAAAATTGTGAATTAACTATACTTAAATTTTAAAAGATTAGTGGAAGGACTGTATGAATGAATGAGAGGTACTTTCCACCATCTCAAACTTCAGAAGCCAAAACAGGGATGCAGGCAAGTCCCCTACCCATCATGTGATGCCTCCAGAGCCTGAACTTGACCCCATACCAGTTCCTGGGCCCCAAACTCAGAAAACATTCCTACAAACAGGTGATGGCTTTTCCCTTTCACATGCTTCCTGGCCTCACAGACCCTTCTCAATTGTCTGCCTCAAAAGCTTAGATGACACATGGAGGCCAGTCCTGCTCCTTAAACACCAAGACTAAAGTAATAAATCCTGGGGACATCCCCGGTGGTCCAGTGATTAAGAATCTGCCTTCAGAGGCAGGGGACACAGGTTTGATCCCTGGTTGGGGAACTCTGATCCCACATAACATGGGGCAACTAAGCCACAGCACCTCAACTATTGATCCTGTGCACCACAACTGGAGCGAAGTTTGCTCACCACAATGAAAGATCCCAGATACCGCAACGAAGACCCAATGTGGCCAAATAAATAAATACATATTTAAAAAAAAGAAATAAATCCTAACACCTCACATCCATGAGGATGGTTACTACCAAAAAGCAAAGACAAAAGATAATATGTCAGTGAGGATGTGGAGAAACTAGAACACTTGTGCCTTCATTGCTGTTGGGAATGTAAAGTGGGCAGTTTCTGTGGACATCAGTATGAAAATTCCTCAAAAAAAATTAAATGTAGCATTATCAGATGATCCAGCAATTCCATTTCTGCACATACACCTAAAAGAATGGAAAACAGAGACTTGGAGAGTTATTTGTACACCTGTAAACCCAAGTGTCCATTGACAGTGTGTGTACTGCTGAGCTGCTTCAGTCGTGTCCAACTCTTTGCAACCCCATGGACTGTAGCCCGCCAGGCTTCTCTGTCCATAGGATTCTCCAGGCAAGAACACTGGAGTGGGTTGTCGTGCCCTCCTCCAGGGGATCTTCTTGACCTGGGGATCGAACTCTCGTCTCTTATGTCTCCTGCATTAGCAGGTGGGTTCTTTACAACCAGTGCCACCTGGGAAGCTCCGGTCCACGGACAGAGAAATGGATAAATAAAATGTAGTCCATCCACACAAAGGAATATTATTCAGCCTTAAAAAGGAAGGAAATTCTGACACCTGCTACACCACGGATGAACCTGGAGAATGCTTAGTGAAATAAGCCAGATATGAAAAGACAAGAACTGCATGATTCCACTTAGGCAAGGTCCCTGTGTGTGAGCATACTCAGTTGCTCAGTCATGTCCAACTCTTTGCGACACTATGGACTGTAGCCCACCAAGCTCCTCTTTCCATGGGATTCTCCAGGCAAGAATACTGGAGTGGATGGCCATTTCCTTCTCCAGGAGGTCTTCCTGACCCAGGGATAGACCCTTCATCTCCTGCATTGCAGGCAGATTCTTTACCAAGCCCATATGAGGTCCCTAGACTCTTGAGAGTCCCTTGGACTGCAAGGAGATCCAACCAGTCCATCCTAGAGGAAATCAGTCCTGAATGTTCACTAGAAGGACTGATGTTGAAACTGAAACTCCAACACTTTGGCCACCTGATAAGAAGAACTGACTCATTTGAAAAGACCCTGAGGCTGGGAAAGATTGAAGGCGGGAGGAGAAAGGGACAACAGAGGATGAGATTGTTGGATGGCATCACGACTCAATGGACATGAGTTTGCGTGAACTCCGGGAGTTGGTGATGGACAGGGAGGCCTGGCATGCTGCAGTCTGTGGGGTCGCAAAGAGTCGGACACGACCGAGCGACTGAACTGAACTGAACTGAACTGAACTAAAAGGAGTCATATTCCTAGAGCATTGTAGAATGGAGGGTGGTGGCTGCCTGGGGCTGAGGTGGGGAGAAGGAGCCTTTGTGGTTAAAGGGGACAGTTTCAGTTGTGGAGAGGCAGGCTGGCGATGGTTGCTCAACCATGTGAATGTGCTTAATGCCACTGAACTGAGCACTTAAAAATGGTTAAGACGGTAAATTTATGTTATGTGTCTTTCATTACAAAAAAAAAAAAAAGTGAACCTCACCTCCTCCATGACCAAATTCCATCGCATGGAGTAGTCATCTCGCTCCTCGTAACCTCTGTAATTCTTCCTCAGGGACACGAAGTTGTGCTCCAAGGCCACTTCTCGAACCTCAGCGATGAAACGGGGAGCGGTGAGCACAGAAAACAGCAAGGTGCCCATTTGGTGAGGTTTCTTGGGGACTCAGGGTGGGGGCGGGGAAGGGGACTTCCCGGCCGCTTCCTTCCTGGCCCCTCCACCAGCCAGGGTCTGCGCTGGAGGAGGAAGAACTCAGGCTACCCTCGGGCCTGCCCCCCACCCCCCAGAGGGACACAAGCAGGAGCGTGGGTGTGGAGCCCAGCGCATCTGGCTGCTTTCATCCTCGCAAACTGCTTTGAATCATTTGCTCTTTTGAATCGCCCACTCGCCCGCTACGCCCCCGACTGGGTTGCAATTCGATTAGGGGCTTGAAAATCATCTTTAGCAACTGAATCTCTCTCTGCACAAAAGGCGCGACTTTAATCTTCTCTCTCTCTCTCTCTCTCTCTCTCTCTCTCTCTGTCTGTCTCTGTGTGTGTGTGTCTGTGTGTGTGTTTGAATAGAGGTTTAAATTTAAAACCTTTTTTTCCCCCCAAACAGGTAAAATAATCGCATGGTTCAAAATTCACAAAGCACAGACGGTAAATCATGAAAAGTCTCCCTCCCACTTTTTTATTCCAGCCGACAAGTTTCTCCCACTCCATCACAGGGTTACAGTTTCCTGTGTCCCCAAAGAGATATACTATGTGTGTCAAAGCAAAGAATACTCTTCTTATTGTTCCATTTGCTTCATACTACTCTCACGGCTCGGCATCCAGCTACTCTCATTATTCGGCTTCTGGCTGTTTTCAACAACAGCACTAGCGGCTCTTGGTAGCCGGCGCAAATCCCGGTGGCTTCGCTAATTTCTGTGTCCGGGAACCTGACTTCCCGCTGCCAGCGACTGCGGGGCTTTAAGTGGCCTCTCAGTACGCATGCGCCCTGGGAGCAGCCCTTAAACAATGACTGATGATTTAGGTGGTGGATCAATACTGCAGCTCCCTCGCCCCTTGGGTTGGGGAAATAGTTGCATGCTCTTTGCGTCCCAACCAAGACTGATCCCAGTTGTACAGTGTAAGCTTTTAGCGGCTACATTCCCGTCCCTGCCTCACTGCTCATGCCCCCTACTGGTGCTTCTTGGGATCATCACTCAAACCAGGAGCTTTCAAATCCTTGTCTCAGGGTGGGCCTCGCCCAGAGGTAAACAAGAACAGAACTACATTCTGGAGAATGTACCGTCTCCTGTACATACAGCCTCTTTCTTCCTTCTTTCCAGCTGCATCAGGTTCCCTTGTCTGGATTATTATAAATTATAATCCCCCTCCCCCCAAACTGATGCTCCACTAGGACAGAAGCGATTTTTTGTACATCCTGGTATATGTATGTCAGGCTGCCCACAAACAAGCATATCCTTGGATAATTCCTAGAGACCAGATGGTTGGGTCAAAGCATACGTGCTTTGCCATTTTGATGGATATTGCTAAATAGCCCTCTATTTTGAACTCATTTCAAAACCGCAACAATTTTCACAGCTTTCCCCATTACCATCCCCTGCAAGGCTCACCGCAAATGCAGGAGAGAGGTCAGATTAACCCAGCAGGTTTTTTGAGGAGAGCCTTGGCGGAGAGGGCTGAGGTTTTTGGCTTTTTCACCCCATCTCTAGAGACGCAGTGTCCCACCACCACCAGATCTTGGAGGGCGTGGGTGCCTGGCGGGGGTGGGGACGGGGTTCGCGGAGGGGAGGGGGCGGGGCTCTATTGATCCCATCTATTTCTAATGTGGAGTGGGAGAAGCCGCCAGGTACTTAACAATCTGGAAGAAGGCAAAGGCCACCGTGGCAGCCGTGATTTCCACAATAAGAATGATGACCGTGACCAAGAAACACTGGAAGACACAGCGAGGTGGGGGGTGGGGGCTGGGAGCCTGCTGGAAGTCCTTCCACCCCCACCCCCAGGCCACCCTGTAGCCTCTCTAGT